TTCTTTGTTATTTGTGTTATTCATATAAATAGTCTAGTTTAACATATTATTGTTATAAACTTTTATATTATATCTCGCACAAAACTGAGATATTTATTTTATTTTACTTTTGGCACAAGATGAAGTCACTATGTATACGCAAAGGAGAAAAAGAATAGAAGGAGCAATCGTTATACGTCACTTATCGTTAGTACCTATTTTTTTTGCGCGCACCCCGCAATGTCTCCAACAATCTAACGCCGATTTTTCCTCCACAAAATGCCAACATTTTTCAAATTGTAAAAAAGCTTTTTCCCGAACTAAATTTTTCTTTATCTAGTGAAGAATATATCTTTCATCGAGAGCTGCAAAAGATCGCGAGAGAGATAGTTAATCATCTATTCATTGGAGGAAATCGGCATTCGTATTGTTACTTCAAAACAGTTTCACACAGGATCTACATGGCGTCGGATAGACGCGGATGGATCGTCGCGTTGGAATAAACGGAGAAATAAAGCTTGAGAATACAATGCGTGACGTTGTTACGTCCTCGTAGATTACATACGCGGTGACCCCGAGGCTCATCACCCCCTGCAAGCGCGAAAGATAGAAGAGCGCCGACGAGGAGAGCGGCCGCGCGTCGCAGCTTTTGCGGAATCTTATCAATATTATCAGCGGTCATTGCGCGGTGCGAAAGGAGGAAGGTGCGAGAGAGAAGAAGCCAACGAAAGAGATTAACGGGACGACCGGGGTGATTACGGTGGCTGATTTTAAGTGGGGATACGCAGGCGCCGTACACAATCACGCCTCCCCTCCTCTCATTACGTACCGACGTCGCCGGCGTCGTCGTCGTCGTCGTCGTCGTCGTCGTCGTCGTCGTCGTCGTCGTCGTCGTCGTCGTCGTCGTCGTCGTCGTCGTCGTCGTCGTCGTCGTCGTCGTCGTCGTCGTCGTCGTCGTCGTCGCCACCACCGACGTCGTCGTCATCGAGAGAGAGGAGAGAAAAAGAGAGAGATAGAGTGAGACGTCGACCCGTCTCGCGCCTCCTCTCGCGTTTTCAGTTCTCCAACCGAACACACGACGGCGACTCGCCAAAACCACGCGAGACTCAAGTCGAAGCGACCAAGGTACCGCGTTCGTGGTATCGCGACGCCGTTGTCGGCAACTCAAGCCGAAAACTCACATAAAAAGACGCCTCCGAGATAATACCTCGTGATAGGGGAAGAGAGAGAAGGCTACGAGCACGCGGCGGAGCAACAGTATTCGGCGACTTTCCTCTGGAGTGCGTCGGCCGGAGACAGTGCAGGAGGAGAACCGAGTGTCACCGTCGATCGACCAACCGACTGACCGACCGACTGATCGAGGGTCGGAAAGCCAGCGAGAGGTCAGCGAGAGAGCATCTCGTATCTCTGCGATTCGGTCTACCGACCCGCGGAAGGCGTGGTGGGTCGTTTGCGCGCGTTCATCCGACTGCACCAAGATAGTACAGTTACGGAACCACGTGAAGCATGGGACTGACAGTAAGATGTGAATCCAAATATCAGTAGAGACAGGTGCGTGACTGAGTAAAGTGATAAGATCGGGAAAGAGAGGAACGTCATTTAGTCCACGGATTATTATGCACTTCTTTCAAATTAGCACCCCCGCTACTGAAAATCGGAATAAGATATACATCAAAACTTCTAATTTAATGTTCTATTTCTGATTCTAGTGATATATTATCATGTATTGCCTAAAAACCTTGACCGATTTCTCGATAATCTTCTCCGTAGTAACGATCTGATTATCATGCTCATCTGTCGGTGACTCGAGAAGCGTGGACGGAGGATTTTCCGTGGCTCGACGTGACTGTATGAGCCGAAGGGAGTCTCGAGAGAAATCGCGACAAACGGCGGTGGTTGAGCATGATCGCGGAGGATGAGGAAGAAGTACAAAAATAACTATTCCCGTGGTTGACCAGAGATGCACAGCTGACCAGCCACGTCAGAGAGGAAGAGAGCGAGCGAGCGAGCGAGCGAGCGAGAGAGAGAGAGAGAGAGAGAGAGAGAGAGAGGGAGAGAGTGTGTGAGAGAAAGCGAGAAAGAAAGGGAAAGAAAGAGTGAGATAAGGAAAGAGGGAGCGAGTGCCGGACGTTCGATTAGCGCTGGTGAGCGCCGCGACTCGCGTCGGGACACGACCGGACGAGGAATCGATCCGATCGCGACATTCCGCATAAACTCGACTGCATATACACCACGTGCCTTTACCATCGTTGTATCCGTTGGGTGCGCCTCTCATATTTTGGAGATCGCGACGCCTTCTTCGCACACGGCTATCGATTTGAAATCGAGCGAAATCGAGCCGTCCCCTCATTGAAGATTCCCTTGTTCGAGCACGAGCGATTGAGCGACTAACATCGTGGAGATGTCCGAGCCATGCACCTCTTCGAAATTACTGCATTCCACGACCTCGGTCGCCGCGAAGTCTGACCCCGATCCCACGAGGTCGAACGAAGTTGGCGAATATTACGTAGGAGTGCCTGTGGTCAGAAACGTCAACTCCCGGATGATCGAAGCCTCGAGGCTGTTGACCCGCATCACGACGCCACGTTGTTACTCGATTGTATCAGAGCGCACAATCACAAATTAAAACGTGCGAAATAAATCGGCGCGCGTCCTATCCTTGGTTTCACGGTGACGAACGGCGATCGAAGCGATATGAGACGTTGCCGACGAGAGAGGACGAAGTCGCTTTGAAGACGGACGCTGCTGGCGAGTAACTGACGACATATTGTCATAGTTTCTTCTAAATCGATCGAGATTGCGTGGGAGATTTGCGAGAAACTGCCCGAGAAATCGCCAGCCACCGATCCTGAAAACCATAGGTCTGTAATATCTTCGCTATAAATACGCGTTTTCCTTACACACGCACATCAAAAGTGACAACACGTGCGATACATCGCATGCCGGCTGTTCGACCGACCTTCCCGGCGTCCTTGGTTCGACGGCTAGACAGGAGGAATCGTCGTGACGTCCCGCGCCGATACGTCTTAGACGTATATCTAGATAGACGAAAACTCCAGGTCCAAACATACATCGTCGAATAGCAGATGACATCCAAGTCACTCGCGTGCAACGAACGCGCGGAAACGCAACCGTGCTCTCTGACAGTCCATTCGGAATATTATATATACTGATGCTTTGACCGTAGGTCTCTTTAATTGGAAATCTGAGGCTATATATAAGAAAGAAGAAAAGGAGATCGCGATTTCGCGAAAACGAGCGAGACTAAAAACAACGATTGCATCCTGGTAATTCCTGTAACGCATGAGATATACACGTGAGATAGAAGCACCTGGACGAAGATTCTTTCTCCTCGTTTAGCTCTGCTAAACCCTTTTATATCTATTAAGAAGCGGATGAAGGAAGTAAAACGGATACATCACTGATCCGCGTTGTTCGATCGCAGTAACGAATCTTTCTTCTTCTTCGTAAGAAAAAGTCGCGTTACGTTTCTCTACGTTATTCTGTCTTATACGGCTGATCGCTATGCTCAACTTGTGCTGTGCTTTTTTCTACCGTGCTCGTGCATTCTACGTCGCGAGTGTTTTCCTAGTGCTTTAGTGTTACTTCGCGATATATTAATTGAGAAGGATTGGGCCCGGTGCGCCCCATCACACGCTTCAACGCGGAAGTCTCGGCTGCCCAGGTGTCTGGGAATCTTGTTCCTGAGATGCCTGTTAGACGGGGTCACGTGGCGCCTAGAACTACGATCATCGAAACAATCATCAGGAAGTTTGATACGCACGGTGAGTTAGCCAAGAGGGGAATAATAAAGAGGGATAGAAATATTAAATGATCGTGGAGAAAATAAAAGAAAATCCGACTTTTTTTTTTAATAAAATGCTTAAAAGATTATCTTTAAATAATTAAAATAATTATTGTCTGCTATATCCTGCCATCTTTCTGGTAAAAATTGGATTCCGCGAAAAAACTCTTTTATCTCCACGGAATTCAACTTTTATCATAAAAATGGCAAAAAATAACAAACGACAATTATTTCAACTGAAAATAATCTTTTAATATTTTATTATAAATTTTTGATGAAAAAATCCGAATTATATTTTATTCCCGATTTAATAACAATGCTGAAAACTAATGGACAATGCTCGTTTCTATCAGAAGATTAACTTTAATCTCAACTCACTCTTCTTTTTTTTTCTAATTAAAAAAATTTTAGAACTAGAAAAAGAAATAAACAGTAAGTTGAACGAAGATTAAAATTAATTTACATTGATGGAAATTGACGGGCATTAATCGTCATAATATTTTTTAGGAATAAAATGAGGGTGTAAATAATCATATTGTAATAATTGTTTTACGTAACCAACTAGTTTGCTGGCAAAGAAAATCCATTTCCATTGCGGCACAAGATAATCCGAGAGTTGCGTTTTATGCGACAATATTGACTATATTGCATGGCATATTAATTCGATAAATTATGGCAATAATATTTCTATTTGCGCCGATTAATTTCGCAGTTTTTTACTAACCGTGCTATATGATCATTAATCTGACAAAGCAGCTCAAGTTATTGATGAATATAATAAGATGAATACAATATAGTGTTTCATTTGATTATCACAAATGCTCGTAATACATAATACTTAACGTTTCATTGTTATTTCGAATTGATATTTAAGATCGTACTGTAATATCGTATAAAGTAAGAATTAATATGATAATATATCAATTTTGTATTGAGTAAAAAAAATTGATATATTCTCTAGATGAACGACTGACGCGATCGTTTACATGTATGCGTTCAGTTTGTGCCGTTTCGTTACCACGATCGGTTTACCTTGAAGGTCAAGACTAAAAATATATGCCTGCTCATTTTCTCAGACAGACATGGAAACGTAATCGAAGGGAATATTGAGGCTGCGATATGCAGAACGTGCAGGCATTGAGCCAGAAATTCATTTTCAATATTATGTAAAACATCCCGACTGTGGTAGGTGCAGAGTAAGGAAGAGCTCGGTTAAATAGAGGAAAGGGATGGTTCTGTATCACAATATGGGACAATGCATGTCACTGGCAATATCACTCCAGGAATGTCTCGAGTCCTTGCGAGAGGAGAAGCGCGTCATGGAGGAGACTTGAATTGATTGCGAAAAGGAAGAGAGATAGAGAGAAGAACGGAACACTAACGATTTCTTTTGCATTGTCGCGATTTATTGACAAGAATTCTCTTTAACGGAATTGCCTGTTTAGATAAGAATTTTGTGCATCTTATACAAAATTAATCTTATTTATACACTGATAAAAATGGTTTGGTTGAATTAAATAGTAGAATTCTAGTGGAAAAGGGACGAATCAGAATTTTTTGATTAAATCTACTAAAATTCTAGTTGAAATAACAAGAATTCTGATTGATATAATTATTCTGATAAAAGGAAGAATTCTAATAGATTTTACTAGAAATATTGTATCAATCAGAATTCCGATTATCTCAATTAGAATTCTAATAAATTTAACCAGAAAATTCTGATTCGCCCATTTTCAACCAGAATTTTTTTTCAGTGTAAAGAGGCTCTTTGTAGTTTATATTATAAAGTGAGAAGATATATTTCATGTTTACTATATAATAAAAAAAAGCATAAATGATTATTTTTATTTTTATATAAAAATTACAAAATTGATTCACATTACAGCTACAAAAAGCTTCAAAGTATGTGCTAATACTTACCTACATAGATCAGAATTTTAATTTTGAACATATTAGGTGTGGGAAAAAGTTCGTGGCGTTTTTTTAATGCCATCTAACGGGAAAAACGCCATGAACTTTTTCCCATACTTTGCATCATGAAGGATACATTTTATATTTGCTGATAGCAAAAAGACAAATATGAATGGCTATTTTTATTTATATATAAAAATTAATTAATATTAGAGTTGAGTATATAAGATTTGAAGTATAGTGCACTAATGGTATGTGGATATCAGCATTTTATAATTTATATGAATCGTATCTATTACAATATCTATATTATAGAGCACTATATTATTATATAGTTCAAGATTACTGATTGAATTATTATGAGATAGAGAATTATTTCATATTTATGATACGACATTATCGTGTGACTGACGAAAACGCGATACGTAGCACAATGAAACTCATTGCCATAACGAAATGCTAACATATGCATTCGCACGTAGTTGATATCAAATTTTTTGAATTTGCAAAGAAATCTACGTCTTTCTCAGTTAATGGAATGTTGCAAATATACACCAGGGGAAGCAACTTAAAACTTGTTCTTATGCGTTTTAATTTCCAAGTAATGTTCTTTTTTATTACATTTTTTGTAACATGTCTTGACTACTGAGAGATGCATAAGTTCCAATAGCAAATAAATATTTGCAGATCTCTCTCTCTCTCTCTCTCTCTCTCTTTCTCTCTCTCTCTCTCTCTCTCTCTCTCTCTCTCTCTCTCTCTATCTCT